AGTATGATATCACCATGAAGAATAACACATAAACTAGTGAAGCAGAATCAAGAGCACAAAAGTACACCCATGTATATAGAGTCAACTAATATTTGACAAGGGAATCAAGGATACAACTCAATGGGAAAAAGATAGCCTCCTCAATAAATTGTTTTGAAAACTATACATTCACATGCAAAAAAAGAAATTGGACCCATCTATTCCTCCACTCACAAAAATTAACTTGAAATAAATCAAGCCCTGGCTGGTGTGGCTCAGTGGATTGAGCACCAGCCTGCAAACTGAAGGGTCACTGATTTGATTCCCAATCAGGGCACATGCCTGGGTTTGCAGGCCAGGTCCCCAGAAGGGGGCATGCAAGAGGCAACTACATACTGATATCTCTCTCCCTTTTTTTCTCCCTCATTTCCCCTCTGTCTAAAAATAAATAAATAAAAAATATATTTAAAGAAATAAGGACTTAAATATATGACCTAAAACCATTAAATTCATAAAAGAAACTTTAAGAAAAATGTCCTTGACACTGACCTTGGAAAATATTTTTTGGCTATGTCACCAAGAGTGCAAGCAACAAAAGCAAGGGTAAATATGCAGAAATACATCAAACTATTATAAAAAGCTGCTGCACCGCAAAAGAAATAATCAGCAAGATGAAAAGGCAACATATGGAATGGGAGAAAATATTTGAAAACCATCTATCTGATAACAGATGAATATCCAATCAATATATATAAGAAATTCATACAGCTTAATAACAAAAACAAATCTGATTAAAAAATAGGCAAAGAAGCCCTGGCTGGTGTAGCTCAGTGGATTGAGCGCGGGCCTGAGAACCAGACAATCGAGGTTCGATTCCCAGTCAGGGCACATGCCTGGGTTGCAGACCAGTTCCCTGCAGGCCAGTTCCCAGCAGGGGACACACGAAAGGCAACCATACATTGATGTTTCTCTCCCTCTCTCCTTCCCTTCCCCTCTAAAGATAAATAAATAAAATATCTAAAAAAATAGACAAAGAACTTGAGTAGACATTTTTCCAAAGAAGATATCCAGATGGCCAACAAGTACATGAAGAAATGTTCTATATGACGAATCACCAGGGAAATGCAAATCAAAACCACAATGAGACATTGATTAAATAAATTGAAGAAGACACAAATGAAAAAAAACATCTCATGTTCATAAACTTATTAAAATGCCCATACTACCCGAAGCTATTTCACACCTGTTAAAATTGTTATTATCAAAAAGAGGGGAGAGGGGAGGGGATTTCAGGGGAAAAGGGGAAGGATTTACAGGAACTAGTATAAAGGACACATGGACAAAAACTAAGGGGGGTGGAAATGGGAGGGAGGTGGGGAGCACTGGGGGGTGGGCTGGGATGGGAGTAAAAGACAGAGAAGTGTACTTAAACAACAATTAAATAAATGAAAAAGAGAACAGGCAATAAATGTTAGCTAGATTATAGAGAAAGAGACACCCTTGTATCCTATTGGTTGGAACATAAGTTAGTACGGGCATTATGAAAAGCAATATGGAAGTTCTTCAAACTGAAGTAAGTAAGTATAGAATTACCATATGATCAAAGTATTCATACTTTGGAGTGTATATTCAAAGAAAAGAAATCACTATCTCAATGAGATACCTGCATCTTTATGTTTACTGCACTATTACTTATGATATTCAAGACATAGAAACAATGTAAGTGTCCTTTAATGAATGAATGGAGGAATATAGATATAGATTTTATATAGATAGTTTAGATTGTTTTATAGATATATAGATATAGATATAGAAATTATTAGGCCATTAAAAGGAAGAAACTCTGCTTTTTGTGACAATATGGATGCACCTTGAAAGCATTATGCTAAATGAAATAAATAAGATAGAAGAAGACAAATACTGTATATTATAACTTATATATGGAATCTAAGAAAGGTGAACTCATAAAAATAGAGAGTAGAATGGTGGTTATCAGAAGCTGTGATGTGGGGGAAATGGGGCAATAGCGGTCAAAGTATACAATCATCCTGCAATAAGATGAGTGAGATTTGGGATTCAAATACACATAATTGTGACTATAATTAACGGTACTGAATTATAGATTTGAAAGTTGTCAAAAGAGTATATTTTACATGTTATCACTGCAAAAAAATAATAATTATGTAAGGGGATGGAAGTGCTAGCTAACCTCATCATGGTGATCATTTCACAATATATAGATGTATCAAATCATCATGTTTTACATTTCATGCTTAATAAATTAGTTATATGTCACTAATATCTCACTAAAACTGGAAATAAAAAGTAAACAATATAAAAGTTCAGAAACATGTAAAATAATTATTGTATATAATATGTACATACTGCTTATGTGGTGTCAGACACCATTCTAAGTGTTTCTACAAACAGGCTCATTTAATCTTCACATCAGCCCTACTATTATTCCCCCACTTTACAGATGAGAAAACTGAGGTCCAGGGAAGTGAATCTCTTTCCCAAGACCACACAGCTAGAAAGCAGGAAGGTTGAATTGAACCTAGAAACGTAGATCTAGAGTCTGAGTCTTAATAATGGAACAAAATGAAGCAAATGTATGGACCACACTAATGCGGTTTCTGAAATCTGCCTGCCTATGTTCCAAATCAAGCTCGGACATTTGCCATCTGTGTGAAATTGGTCAAATTACTTCACTTCTCTGTGCCTTGTTTTCCTTATTTGTGAAATAGAGATAAGAAAGCACATACTTCAGAAGTATGTGCTGAAAGGAGTCAACAAGATAAAGTATGTAAGTATGCTAAGGCTGTCTCTGTCACACAGTATGCTCAATAAATGTTAACTATTTGATCATATAGAGAAACAAGGACCTTGTGGGCTTTCTATATTTGGAAATCACAGAAACCAATAAAGAAGGAACATGATACTATCACAAAAAGAAACGGAGAATGAAAAATACGCAGTGTCATAAGAGCCAACAGAAGCATCTGGTTATATAGCATAGTAATTCAAGCCTCGAGCCCCAGGGTAAGTCTACCTGGATTAAGTCCCACCTCTGCTATTTTAATTAGTTACATGACATTGAACAAGTTACTTAATTGTAAATCTGCTTCACTGTCTTAATATACATATAATACCTACCCCAAAAGCTTTTGTGAAGATTAAACTCATTAATGTATACAGAGCACTCATAACAATGTTTAACACACAAGGAACTCCCAATGAATGTTGGCTTGTATTATTTTCAGAATGAGGAAAAGTTTTCCTAAAGAAGTTTGGTCATACCCATGAAAGGAAAGAGATGGACAGAACTAAAGAAAACCTACCTTTTAAGTGTGCATCTCTTCAAATTCATCCTCTCTTCATCCCCACTGCCTGGGATCTCATTTGAGTCCTTATTATTTCTCACCTGGTCTTATTATACATTGACTGAGACAAGTAGGACAGTATTGAGGAACAGGAAGTAATCTTGCTTGCCTGGAGCCTCAGGCTAATACAGGGTTAGATTGAAAAGGGGTCTTGATTGCCTGGTGAAAAAGGTCAGACTATCCTGTAGGCAAGGGGAAGTCCTGGAAGATTACAGAACAAATTGCAGAATTGTGTTTTAAGAAGAAGTATCTTAATTGAAGAAGGATTAGGTGTGGCAAACTAGTTAAGAGTGTTGTGAATAATCATGGTAGAGATGATTATTTCCTGATGTGTTACTGAAAAGGGAAGGACAGGATGAAGTAGATATTAGGGAAGATCATGAGTTTTTTTCAAATTCAGTTGTTTATTCATTTAATATTCATTGAAAACCTACTATATGCCTGGCATGGTGATAGGCAGTGGGGATGCAAGAACAAAATCATTCATTCATTCAACAAATATTTATCGAACAGCCATAAAGTGCCATGCCTTGCGCTAAGAGCTGGAGATTCAGCAATAGTTCCTACCTTCGAGGAGCTCACAGCCTAGACTAGGGAAAATACAATTTAACAGCAATTTATGGTACATTTTTAAAATGTTAAGATGAAGATTAAATGAGCATCTAGCAAAGTCTGTTTTGGGAATGGGAGACATGTCACCTAAACTGTGTGGTGTTTGGGAGTAAAAAGGCAAGAGAGGGAAGGGGAGACCAGATTGTGAAGGTCTTTAATGTCACAGTAGGAAGTTTGAGCTCTTTCTTGTGGCAAAAAAAGGGATATTACAGGGTTTAAACAAGGGTATATGATCTAATTTTAAAGAAGTCACTGTGGGAGTAAAGGCAGGGTGGGCAACTTGGGAAGTATAAAGAATGAAGCATAGAATGTAAAGAAGAGAGAAGATTCCTAGAATTTTGGCTGGTCAGAAAAGGTCCATAGAGATCCTCCAATATTAACCAACATCTTACATTTTGTAGACTCAGATCCAGAGAGGTCAAGGGACAAGTCATACAGCTAATAAATTGGCAAGTGTTACATCTGAAGGTCTGTCCTGATTCTCAATTTGATGCTCTGATTACTACTCCCTGTTTTGGAACTAAATGATGGCCAGGGAAAAGGACTACAGGGGTGGGGGGTGGCAAATGTGAACAGCATATTAATGAGAGGTTGGATCTTAAACTGGGTCTTGGGGAGGCTTTTGTTTCTTTCCACATTTTTAACTGGAGTTTTGTAAACCTTACCACTAAAAACAAACAAGAGAACATTCCCTCGTCAGAAGGCCAAGGAATTGTGAAATAGTAAGAGGGTTGGAGGGGATGCGTGCTTAAGAACTGTATCCAATCTCTGAGGGAAACATGTGGTCCAAGCCCTAAAAAAACAGATCAGAAAGTTGAGATTTCTATTTGGCTAACCACAGCCTCTGCCACAAAAGATGTACTCCAGCGCCCTCTGCTGAACCCTAAAAAGGTTGTCTCCTTAGCTCCTGGTGACGCAAACAGTCCGAGAAGCTAAAATGGCGGCGACGCCCCCTCACTGCCCCCAAGTAGGCTGTGCCGTGGAGCATGATGGGAAGATTCAGCGGCAATTACAAGAGAATGGACCCCAGAAGCTGGCCATCTGGTTTGGGGCTTTGAACCCCCTAGTCGTGACAGCATCTTCTGAAAGCACTTTGGAAAATCTGAAGATATCTTTAAGCAACTGGTATGGAGATTTTGTCATTACTCCCGGCAGTCCAGTAGGCGGCGGTAGAATGCAACGTGAGAGACGCAACTGCTTTCTTTTTCTTTCTCTTTCTTTCTTTCTTTCTCTTTCTTTCTTTCTTTCTTTCTTTCTTTCTTTCTTTCTTTCTTTCTTTCTTTCTTTCTTTCTTTCTCTCTCTCTCTCTCTCTCTCTCTCTCTCTCTCTCTCTCTCTCTCTCCCTCTCCCTCCCTCCCTCCCTCCCTCCCTCCCTTCCTTCCTCTCTTTCTCTCTCTTCTCTCTTTCTTTCTCTTTCTCTCTCTTTCTCTCGTTCTCTCTCTCTTTTCTTTCTCTGTCTTTCTTTTCTTTCTCTTTCTTTTCTTTTTTTCCCTATAACTGGGTTTTTAGGACAGGATTTGAATCTGAGTTAAAGATTACTGGAGTTTAAACTTTAGATGAAGGAGTTTTAATGTGAGATACCTGGGTGAGCCAAATGGCAGGGATTCGTGGCAGTAGTAGAGATCAGTGACTAAACTAATTAAAACACACGCACACAAAAATAGAACACTGAGTGGACTCCTTGAAATAGTATGTAAAAACATACATGTATAAGTTCCTGTGCATTTGGAGGGGACAGAGTACATAGTAGTGTTCACCAGACTTTCTAAGGGGTTGGCAAATCTTTCCCCTTTTCTAAGGGGTTGGCAAAACCCTTCCCCCTTAGACCATGAGGTCCTAGGCCAAGGGTAATATACCATAATGATTATGCAGAACTTTAGACACAAACTTTCTGGTTTCACATTTTTACTACACTAACCCCTGACTGTGATCTTAAGCAAGCATTTTAACCTGTGTGTGCTTCAGTTACATATATTTAAAATGGGGATAATAGCAATACTTACCCCTGGGGTTATAATAAAATGAGCTTATTAAATAGAATTTTTGTAATAACCATTTATTAATTGAAAATAACTTAATGGCTTCCCCCAACAGTTAAGTAACCCTTAGAAGCATTATAACATCTTATTCTGTTATGCTTTCAATTCTATTATCTTCATCACCATTTGTTGAGGTTGGTTTACATATAAGGAAAATTAAGAGAGAAACAGGATAACTTATATGAGCTCATGAACCCAGTCAGTAACCAAACTGGGATTCTAGAACCAGGCTCACCAGATTCTTAGCTTAGTGTTCATTCCATTATACCATGTTGGACTGGTGCAAAGGATATTATGAAAATTTGAGTTAGACTTCCTAACCCTGACTCTTATGTAATAGTTGCAAAAAGAAATCCTTGGGTGGTTCTTCATCTAGTCCAGGCTTGAGCACATGCGACAGTAAGCAGATTTCATATTGGGAAACCCAATCTCATTTATAGAAGGGTCATTTTATTGTGATGTGCCCTATTAACATTCAGACTTCTCCAGGTTTCCTACATGTTAGAAGAAAATAAAAGCTTTCCTTGAGACTTGTCCCTATCCAGCTATCACCTTCTTTCTCTCTTTTTCTTCTCAGAGAACTTCAAAAACAGGGTTGTCTATTAAGGGCTTTAAAGCTTTCACTTCTGCTTCACCTATCAACTCATTTTCCTAAGCATTCTATCAGTGTCCTTCTTAGGGCACTTTTCTGAACCATGTGCTATGTTTAACCCTGTTGAACTTTGGCCTCTAAGGTACCATACTGTTCTCATATTTCTTTAGCTTTTCTGTCCATTCCTTCCCCCTTTCCTTCTATGGTTTATTTTCCTCTGCCTATCCCTTAAATGTTGATATTCTACAAAGATATGTTCTTGGCCTTCTCTCCCTCCTATGTTACACTCATTGCCTAGATGATCTCATTCCCTCACTCAGTTTCAACAAACACCTGGAGCTAATGGCTATTAAATTTATGCCCACAGCCAAGCCTTCTTTCCCCAATTCTAGATACACATATCAAACTGCCTACTATATACCTCACAAGCATCTCCAATTCTTTCTTCTAAAATTTAATTTATCATTTTCCTCTTGCCTCAGATCTGAAATGCTATCATCCATCTTAGTCACCAAAGCCAGAAACTTTTTTATAATTCTTGATTCTCTTTCTCCCTTAACTCTTACATCCCATCAGTCATCAATTTACCCAGTCACTTAACAAGATTAACTGAGCACCTACTTTGTTTCCGGCATTATCTAGGTGCTGATGCTACAGCACCTAGATCCATACCTAGCCCAGTCCGTGCCTTCATGCTGCTTTCATTCCAGTACCAAACCCAATATTAAGCTATGATTCACATACTAAATCAATTATAATTTTAAATTCTGAAAATGAAAAGAGTGGTGTGCTCTGAGGGCATGTATTCTGGGACCATGGAAGACTTCTCTGAAGAGGTGATTTTTTAGTTGAGGGCTGAGGAATGAATAGGAGTTAATTAGATAAATAGAACTAAAAGGACCTTGTATACAAAGTAGCATGTTCACAAAGTCCTGAGGTGGGTGACACATTTGAAAATCAAAAAAGCCAATACATGGTTGGCATTTACAGAACATAAAAGAGAGTGGCATGAAACAAGGTTGAGGAGGTAGGCAGGGGCTTTATAGGCCACAGCAAGATTTTGCACTTTTTCCTAAGAGTAATGAGGAGCTACTAAAGGATTTCCATGAGTAAAGTGACATAGTCCAATTTGGATTTTGAAAAGATCACTCTGCCTTGCTAATAGTGGATCAGAAGATTGGGGGTGCTTTTGAGGTAAATCAGACAAGAAAGTTAGTGGCTCCTCTTAGTTTTGTTATACGCATATTTATGAATTATCTAAGAAGTAAAAGCAGTAGCACATAGACACTGATTAGATATAGAGGATAGGACATGGTGTGGTAAAAGTATAGAAGTCCCAGGTTTCTAGTTTCTAGCTTGAACAACTAAGTGCATGATGATGTCTGTTTCTGAGTTGGGAATATTGCAATGAGGAACAAGTAGAGGTACGGTGAGATGATTAGTGCAATTTGAGATATCATAGTTTAATTGGAAGCATTTTTGCTTTCTTAGTGATACATAAAATAATAGTTTTCCTTGCAACAGATGACATTAATTTCAGTTATGTTTTCTTATGGAAACTGGGAACATGGATGAGCTCACCCAGGAAAGAATATAGACTCAAAAAGAAAAAAGAGTCCAGAGGTCTGAACCTTGAGGATTTCTAAAATTTAAAAAATCCAAAAGAAGGGTATGAACTGGAGAAAGAGACAGAGAAAGAGCATACAAAGACAAGAGGAAATCTAGAAATGTCTATTGTTTCAGAAACCAAGAGAAGCAAGTATTTTAAAAAGAAAAGGCATAAAGTGGGATGGGGACTGAAATATGTCTACCAGCTTTATTGACATGGAGATCATTGGGCATCTTGTGAGAAATGAAGTTGGGTGGTGCTGTGGGAGCAAAAGCTGGCTTAAATAGGTTGAAAAGTGAGAGGTAGGGAAGTGCTACCAGCTTAGTACAGACAGCTCTTTTAAAAAGAGCAGCTATGAAAGACACACAAAATTGAGGAATTATCTGTACTGAGGTGTGAAATCTTGTTTTTACTTCTATAGCTCTTAAATTCCTTTCCTCTGATTCTTTATTGCTGCTGCCTTGGTTTGCTCCAACCTTATCTATTGCCTAAATGATCGTAATGGCATTCTGTGGATTTGCCCCTCCAGATCTATTTTCTACACTGCTGCCAGAGTGGTCTATCTGAAACCCAGATCTGACAAAGTAGCTCCTTATTTGAAGCCCTTGAATGGTTCTGTAGTAGGCACAAGATGATATCCAAGATCTCAGTCCCCTGCTTATGTCTTGCCCTTTGCAATTCCGCGAAAATACCATGCATTCTATGTTTCTATGCCTTTGGCCCTATTTCTTCTTCCTATAATTAACTGTCCTCACCTTGCTTGGCTAGTAAATACCTGTTTGTCCCTGTTCAAGCCATCACATCATATTTTAAAAACAAACAAAAAAAATTCTCATTCTCACCCTGGCTGGCGTGGCTCAGTGGATTGGGCGCGGGCCTGTGAACCAGAGTATCGCGGTTCGATTCCCAGTCGGGGCACATGCCTGGGTTGCAGGCCAGTTCCCGGCGGGGGACACATGAGAGGCAGCCATGCATTGATATTTCTTTCCTACTCTTTCTCCTTCCCTTCCCCTCTCTTGAAAAATAAATAAATAAAATATTTTTAAAAAATTCTCATTCTCTGTTTATTATTTTCTTTTAATGTTTCTATATTCTGTACCTATGTCTATAATTACATGGAATGAACTATGTAATAATTATTTGCTGATGTACTTTTTAAAATATGTTTTATTGATTATACTATTACAGTTTTCCCAGTTTTTTTCTCCCCTTTATCCCCCTCTACCCTGCAACCCCCAAACCACAAGCATTTCCCCCCTTAGTTCATGTCCATGGGTTGAACATATAAGTTCTTCAACTTCTCTGTTTCCTATACCATTCTTAACCTCTCCCATCTATTCTATGTCTAACAATAATGCTTCTTATTTCCTGTACCTTTCCCCCCATTCTTCCCCTCCCCCTCCCCACTGAAAACCCTCCATGTGATCTCCATTTCTCTGGTTCTGTTTCTGTTATAATTGTTTGCTTAATTTTTTTTAGATTCAGTTGTTGATAGGTCTGAGTTTGTTGTCATAGTTTTATTGTTCATAGTTTTGATCTTCTATTTCTTAGATAAGTCCCTTTAACATTTCATATAATAAGGGCTTGGTGATGATGAACTCCTTGAATTTGATCTTATCTGAGAAGCACTTTATCTGCCCTTCCATTCTAAATGAAAGTTTTGCTGGATAGAGTCATCTTGGATGTAGGTCCTTACCTTTCATCATTTCAAATACTTCTTTCCAGCCCCTTCTCAGCTGCAAGGTTTCTTTTAAGATATCAGCAAATAGTCTTATGGGCACTGCTTTGTAGGTAACTCTCTCCCTTCTTCTTTCTGCTTTTAAGATTCTCTCTTTATCTTTAATCTTGGGTAACATAATAATGATGTGCCTTGGTGTGTTCCTCC